TTTATTTCTCCGTATCTGTATTGATTTTGTACCACACATAATCCTTTCCAACTGAATGGAAAACTAACAAAAAGAATTTAGATACCTCGTCGCTGCCACCACCATCTGGTCCGGAATGAGCTACGTCTTCTCTAGAGACGCAGTCAAGATTCTTACAAAGGAAGAAGTACAAAAGCGTCTGGCAAGGGCCAGCGCGAAGAAGTCTAATTGAGTATATCGCACCAATACGCGTATGTCACATGTACATTAGTTAGGCATCTATCTTACATATAGGAAGCGGTTTGCATGTGGGTTGTAACTGTATTTTCAGTTCAGCGTGAGTGCTTTTTTTTGGATTTATTAACGCCCTCGAGTAAGTGGTGATCAAAAGCTGTTCTAGAATAACATAAAAAGGTATCTTCAATGGTTTATCTATAGTGTTATTGTACATGATGAGATGAGGTGATTCCTATAAATATGTGCACGCCTGTGACCCGTCAGAATCAACCAAGAGAAAAAAGCTGAAATAAAAAAATACAGAATAATGTACATATTTCTCCGGATTATTGCCCCCAAAGGCCAGATGCAAAGCAAGCCCTACCATATCAGACACCTATCCCTGAACCCGTCCATTGCGCCCGGTCTGTTTGCCGCTGAATATCTAGAATAGAACTGCAAACTGTGCATCTTCGTAAGTGGTGTGTGTGATTATGTACCAGATTAAGTTCTCAATCTAAGGAGCTTGTTGGAGGATGTCATCTGGTGTCTCTTCTAAGTTCTCACTCGCAGGTGGTGGGCCGGATCTCCGGACATGAGCAAGTAACCGTAAGGCACCTGCGGGAGTGACACCTTCAATCCGGCGGGCCATACCAACGCTGACGGGTCGGACACGCTCGAGAGCCTGTTTTTCCTCTGTGCTGATGCCTTGCACCTTGGAGTAGTCCAAGTCAGGGGGGAGGAGTAGGCTTTCGTCCTGCAGGAACTTGCGAACTGCTGTCTCTTGTCGTGCGACGTAGGGGGCGTACCGGCGTTCGATAGCAACGCGGGTTCGGATTTCTGGGGCAAAGGAAGAGGGGGTGTAGACTTTTCCGGAGGGGGACTCGATGTGCGGGATTAAGGCATCAATTTCGACTTCGTCAAGGCAGAGGAGGTCCAGTGCTGAACGGATAGAGGTGTCTACTCGGGCCTTGAAGCCTTTACGAGACCATGCGTTGGAGGACATTCTTGTGTTGGCGAGAAGAGTCTGGAGCTCGTTGATCTGCGCCTCGGTGTCGGTGAAATGTCGCCAGCGTTTGTCGGAGACGACACCCGCGTCGCGAGCCTTTCGTGTTAGGCGTAGATCCGCATTGTCTGATCTCGTAGAGATACGGTACTCGCTCCGCGTTGTGAACATACGGTAGGGCTCAGATACACCCTTGGTGATGAGATCGTCGATCATGATTCCAATAAACCCGTCTGACCGAGTAAGCGTGAGTGGCGACCGGCCTTGGGCGGAGAGACCGGCGTTGGTACCGGCAATGATTCCTTGTCCCGTGGCTTCTTCGTATCCGGTGGTCCCGTTGATCTGGCCAGCGAGGTAAAGCCCACTGATCAGTTTCGTTTCCAGAGTAGGCCAGAGGTTACGAGGATCGATGTAGTCGTATTCCACTCCGTATCCTGGTTGAAGCATGCGCACATTTTCCAATCCGCGGATAGTCCGTAGCATAGCGAACTGAGCGTCTTCCGGAACAGTCATAGAAATTCCATTAGGATAAATAACATCGTTGGGCGCAAATCCCTCTGGTTCCAGCCAGATGAGATGTCGCTCCTTGTCCTTAAAACGGATGATCTTTGACTCAAGAGAAGGGCAGTACCTCGGCCCTCTGACAGTTTCGCGAATGTGAATGGATTTATCCAAGTTGGCACGGATAATTTCGTGAGAGGCCTCGTTGGTATGCGTCATCCAACAATTGAGTTGACCTTCGTCACCGACGTCAACCGTATTGTTGAGGTAGGAAAATGGTTGCGGTGGTGAGTCGCCTTTCTGAACCTCAAGGGATTTGAAATCGATCGTCTTGGCATCCAGTCGAGGAGGAGTCCCAGTCTTCAGACGACCAAGCTGGAACCCAGCCTCACGAAGGGACTTGCTTAGTCCAAACGTGGCGGCCTCACCCATGCGGCCCGACGGGTATACAGTCATTCCGATATGGATTTCTCCGCCCAAGAAGGTCCCCGTTGTGATCACCACTCGGCTAGTAGGTATGACCTCCCCAGACTCCAGCCTTACTCCGACGATTTTGCCCTGCGCACCCGGCACATCCTCCACACCCTCTTTTGACACCACTATATCTGCAACTTTCCCCTCCACAACACTCAGCCCTTCCGTTGCGAGTAGCTCTTCTTGCATGTATCTTTTGTACAGGTCACGATCGATTTGAGCGCGAGGGCCCCAAACTGCAGGTCCCTTCGATCTGTTGAGAATCCGGAACATGATACCCGCTTTGTCGATTATGCGTCCTGCAACACCGTCCATTGCGTCAACCTCTCGGATCATTGTGCCCTTTCCAATTCCTCCAAAGCTTGGGTTGCACGAGCATACGCCGATGTTAGAGAGCGAGGGTGTGATCAATGCAGTGCGAGCACCCGAGCGAGCTGCAGCAGCGCAGGCTTCCGAACCAGCGTGTCCACCTCCAATAACGACGACATCATATGGTCTACATCAGGAGCGTTAGCACCATGAACTAAATGAAGAACCCTGAAAAGGATAGGCAAAACAAGGGCATACCGTGAGCCATCCGAGACGGTGGCCAGGCCGCGAACTGAGCCCAGCAGTCGGGAGCGAGAACCGTGACTCCATCGTTGAAGAGTCACTGACCGCACCCGAAAAGCCATGATGACGGGGTATATGGTGGATAGTCAAATCGCAGAACGAATTTCGATCTCCGACCAACTAAACAGAAAATATGGCTGTCAGGTATCACGTGCAGTTACACTATGGCCGTTAACTCCGAGGGCGGTGAGGCCAGAGGCCTCCGTCGTTGCGCAATCGTTGGCCAATTGCGGGGCTCGATTTTCTCAACCCCGCGGACCATTGGCTTGCGGTCCTTTTTTTTCTTGATTCATCCTCTGCTGCTCTTCTGTTCCTGAAGTATCTTCTCTCCACAGGACATTGGAAACGCTGCTCCATTGTAATCTTTGAAACAAAGTCAGACCCACAAGTCACGATGAAGGCATACTGGTACGACAACAAGCCGGTAAGTTCGACAACTCCGAAGGCATTCCTGGACGCCGTCATGATCGCAATAGGAGGACGGTAGCTAATCTTGTAACAGGGTGACCAGCGCGAGCCCCACGACTCTGGCCGTACTGTCTCCGAAGACTACCTCGCTTCCATCGGTGTTTTCTACCGCCACTACCCCAATATCGAGTCCGTCAATACTTTGGCCAAGGAGCGCGGATATAAGAACCGTGATGAGGTGTGCGTTTCTCCACAGGCCATGGGCGACGTGTACGAGTCTAAGGTGAAGATGTTCTTTGCTGAACATCTCCACGAGGATGAGGAAATCCGGTACATCCGCGATGGTGAAGGTTACTTTGATGTGCGCGGTCAGGAGGATGAATGGATCCGTATCCAGCTTAGCAAGGACGACCTAATCATCCTTCCTGCCGGTATCTACCACCGATTCACAACCGATGAGAAGAACGTGAGTTTGTGTCAGTTGTCTTTAATTCCGTCAGGCTGCTGACCATATACCTGTAGTATGTCAAGGCTATGCGTCTCTTCCAGGAAGAGCCTAAGTGGACGCCTCTGAACCGTAGCGAAGAGGTTGATACCAACCCCCACCGGAAGACATATCTTGGAACTCTCAACACAGCTGCTGTAGCTGCAAACTAAACGGGTTTTTGATAGGTTCAGGGCCAAAGCATGGATTACGGGATGGCTCGATTTGTTTCGTTCTACATCTTTCCAGGTAATTGGCATAGCTACATTTGACGATTGAATGTGTATATATCAGAGCAATGAGATTCATGACGAGCATTCGGTTTCGCTATGCACAGTAGTACACAAAAAAAAAACATGCGTTTATTACGCAAAAAGATCCTCTTTGTGTAAAAATATGTTAGTATACATCAGCAAGATTAAGTCATTAGTTAGCGGCCGCACCTCCAGGTAAAGTGCCAGGCATTTGAAAGTCATCACTCATGCCACCACGGCTTCCCTCTCGGGTCATGCTATGGCTGCGAAATCCGCCTGTCTCGACATTGGAGCTACTCGTTCGTGAGACAGTGTCGAACGGTGGCCGTTGCCCCAGTCCTCGGAATCTCAACCCATCTGGTTCCCTACCGATGTCCTCGGCTCGAAGTGGATTCCCCATATCGGCAGACATAGCGGACCGTGACGCTGCGTTAGAGCCAGTTTCAGAGTCCTCCCCTGTCCGTACGCCTGTCCGGCCCATGCGAGGCCAGAGATCGGGCAAGCCTACCACTTGCACTCGGGGCTCTACCACACGTTCCTCAAACCATGAGTGAACACGGGCTTCCACCAATTGAGCGACTTTGGGTACATCCTGAAGCCTGCTACGGGAGCCAATGAGTGACCGCACCGAGAGGTCGAGTCGATAGTCAGGAAGGAATGAGAACGCGACGTTGCTTTTCGGGCTGGTTTTTGGTGGAGAGTCTTCTTGTGCATTAGGGGGCTCCTGAGCAGGCTCTCCTGACCCATTAGTAGGGTGTGTTCGTGTATTAGCAGCCCCATCTGCAGTGGGGGGTGACGGTGAGGGTGACGGTGTGTGAAGGGGAGGCGTGGATGCTGGGACCAGAGATATGCATAATGTCCCTGAAAACCGTACAACGGAGATAGATAGAGCCACTGGAAGAATGGCCGAGCAAGGTTTGGGGTAGTTCAACAGAAGGGAGGTCTCTACAGCAATAGAGAGATTGTCATCACTCAGGTCGACGTCCAACAATGCCTGAAGCCTTCCGCCGTCAGAGTTGGGATCGTCCACAGCAATGATGCGACAATTGCTGAATATTGGAAACTCTTCGCCCAGGGATATATCCGTCACCGCGATCTTGTCTATGAAGGAAGGCTTCTTTTCTGGGTTGTTCAAGGCGGCAGTCAGCGAACTGAGGATCGAGGATGTAGGGTCATCTTTCAGCAAGTACGCCGTTTGCCTATACTGCGCAATAGTTTGTGCGATCAATACATTGAACCAATCCAGTGATTCCGGCTGATGCGAGGAATGATGGATCCTATGGCGGCCATGCTTTCCCGAGGGGTTTGTAGGTATAGCGCTGTAGTAGGTTTTCCGAAGAATGGATCGAGTGTTGGTAGAGGATGACGGCACCGGACGAAGGACGTTAGACGTGGACGGTTTTTCTCTCAGCGATCTAGATGTTCCTTCATTAGGGTTTATGGAGTAGATCGAATTGGAGCGTCTGTGGGTTGAAGCGCGGTGAGAAAGGCCGCGGGACGGCGGTGGAGGAGCTTCGCCGAAGATGAAGAACTTGATGAAGGCACCAATTAGCAGTACCACGGAGAGCTGTCCTAGAAGGAATCCCTGAGTGAAGGATAGACTTGATCGCCTCATCAGTTTATCATTCGAGCAATTGTCAGGGCATCTATCCAAATGACGTACGAGGATTGCGCCGGAACGGCCGAGGGCTCATCTAATCAAATTGTCACGGTTAGCTGAAAATGAAAAGAATTGTACATTGGGAAAATCAAGAGCGCACTTTGCTGAAATGTCATTTTCAGCCACTGTCGACCTTAATGACTGCTCATCACCCATTGCTGCACCAGCGTTAGTAGAAGAGGTTTGGAGGGTTTGAACTTCCGCTCGCAATTTAATTTAGACTCTGGACTAGTCGGGACTAGCGCCAGATCTCCTTATCGCATTGATTATCACACCTATCGTTTCTTGTTCTCGACCAGAAAAACACAACAATGAGCAGGCAGTCAGGGACAAAGGGTAATATACCCACTTAGTCTCCAGTTTCGGAGGAAGTCCTTTTCTTCACTACGGCGATTTTCAGAAATTTCACACCAAAGACACGTCTGTTGCCCTGCCTAGTGGATAATGACAGCTGTCAACATGCCCGTAAACTAAACGCCGCCACAGCTACCACGTATACAAAAGCTCCACTTCTCGTCAATCTTTTCGCGAAGCCAGCCAGCTGTCATTGCTTAGTTTACTCTCTAACTATGTATTCAATAAACTTACAGGCACTCCTGTCTTTCCTCCTTCTTGTGCTTCCTGTCCTCTCATATGGCAGGAATCCTCCAGGCAACAATGCCATCCTTCTCTCTAATGTGCAGACGTTGACTCTGCGCGGGAATCGCCTCACAACCTCTCGTCGTGTGGATCCCATTCCCCAGTTAAAATGCACCGGGCCATCTAAGAGGATATGTGACCTATATCCCATTGATGTAATGCGGTGCACCAACGCAGGCTACGACTATGATGAAGAAGACGTCCAGTGGACCTGTACCGCATCACTCCCCCAAGAGTTCAAGCTTGGCTCAACAGATGTTGTCTGCGAGGGATACCGAAATGCAGATGACAAGTGGGTACTGAAAGGCAGCTGTGGTGTAGAGTACCGACTCTTGTTGACGGAACTTGGGGAACGGAAATTTGGACGTGTACGCGAAGAAACTTGGCCTAGAATGCCGTCGAATAACAAAGGGGATGGTACGGGTTTAGTAGATATACTCTTCTTTATGTTTATGGGTGTGGCTTTTTTGTGATTCTGGTAGCGATATGTGGAGCATGTTGCGGTTCGCGAGGAAACCGAAGAGGCCGTTCTCCTGGTCGTGGGTTTGGTGGTGGTGGAGGAGGAGGAGGAGGAGGTGGAGGTCCATATCCTGGGCCTCCACCACCATATAGCAGCTGCCCGGATAGTAGTTCTTTCGCGTCGGCGCCTGCTGGACAGGGCTGGAGGCCCGGCTTCTGGACAGGTGCCCTGGGTGGTGCTGCGGCTGGCTATCAATATGGAAGCAGAAATCGCCGCGAATATCCTTCTGCTAGCCGACGAACGACCTCCTTCGGCAGATGGAATGATGCAAATGATCCTGGCGAAGGCAGCTCGCGGTCTCGTTCTCCTCGGTTCTCGACTCCGACTACAAGTACAGGGTTTGGTTCCACAAGGCGTCGGTGATATGGGACAAGATGTATCTTAGGGGCTTCAAATGGTTCGCGCAACAAGTTATATATTACTCTAGCGATTTGCCTGAAACCATGCTAGACAAAGGGAAATCCAGTCCATGAGCCAGGAATGAAACGCCATGACCCGCGAAGAAACGGAGCAGACCGATCTGAACGGCAACTAGGCCGGGAAATCGTAGAAGGAAGTATAAGGATATGAAGGCAGAGCAAACAGTAGTAGGACTGAACCTCTCGCCAGACACCGGGACAACAACACCGGATTAGGGATATCGGAAACGCCGCAAACGCCTATCGTCACTGTCACATTAGATACCAACACAGTCTAAATCATATCAATCACAAGAAGCATTATATTTCAAGGAAAGTCATCAATAGTGCCCAGAATTTCTTCGTTTCCACCGTTCATATTCTTAGCGGCCTGCTTTCTGCTATTGCGCTTGCTCTTGACAGGTGCAGTGCCTTGGTCTTGCCCTGAAGAATGATTAGCATCCGCGGCACCGTCTGGATTGTTAGTCAGCTCCTCTTGAGCCTGCTTTTCTTTCGCATGCTGATCCTCAATCCGTTTCTTCTCCTCATCGAGTTCCTGCTGAATGATCTTGGGGTCGTCATAGATGGTGTTGGTCATCTCTGAGTAGGTCGTAATGTCAACAGCTTCCCGCGGCCCTAGCAGTGTGTCCTTTATCCGCCCCGGGTCACGGCGTTCTTCATTGTTGAACTTCAACTTGATCTGGCGCCTGGACCTTCCCGGAAATAGTTTGCTGATCATCATAAAGTCAGTGCCGAACATGCGCAGCCCTCGATAAAACAAATCCGTCATTTCTTCATCCCAAGATTCGGTTTTGGAGCGCTTTCCAAATGAAGCCTGATTGACTTTTCGGGTAAGAGAGTTTTCTACAACATCCTCCAGGTCCCCGGCATTTCTTGCTGCATCCGCATGACGGTCGACTTGTAGCGATGCCGCATCGAGCACAATCTCCCCGTTCACGATTCTCATGACTGGTCCGTTCTGTGACTTTTGGTCGCCCGAATTGCTTGTTTCCAATGCTGGCGGCGCTGCACTTTCGTTCTCTTTGATAGGGGTCTGCTCAGTATCCCCATCCTGTTGCGCTTTCTGCTTGCGTTCCAGCTCAGCCAGCTCCATTTGACGCAGTTCGGTTTCTCGCTTAGATATCTTCCCGGTCCGTAAGTCTTTGCACAGTTCCGACATCTTGACAATACCAGGCGCAATCTGCACAGCCTCAGAGCCTTCAGGGGTCGGTTCGCGCTTCTTACGAGCAGCTCGAGGCTTCCTTTCTTTCGCCCTGGTCGTCGTATCTCCACCATTGACATCTTTAGACGGCTTCCGTTTTCTTGACTTTGTTGTCTTTCGGTTTTGTTCCGCGGGAGGCTGCGATTCTGTGGTATCCCGACTCTCCGTAGTCTCCTCATTCGTCGAGGTCTGCGTAGCTGGCGGGGTAGCTAGCTGAGGAGGCCCGGTGGGCTGCTGAGGCTCCAAACCTGGGGTCGAAGGTTCAGCAGTTGTCTTTGGACGCTTGGAGGGCCGGGTTTCGGCCGGGGTTTCAGCGACCAGAGATGGTTCCTCGTTAGCTCGAGTCTCCGAGACTCGAGACTCTTCTGCCGGGGCTCGACCTTCCCTCGATTCATCAGGCGCTACTTCAATGGAAGGTAGTGGCGTGGACTCGGCGGGGGCTGCGTTAGGAGGCTGTGAAAGGGTAAATGCGGAGAAAGAAGGCTTTCGCTTTGGACGAGGAATTGAGATCGCCGTAGCGGCAGCCTTGGGTGTTGCTGTGGCTGTGGCTGTTGCTGTCGCTGGCGGTGTTGGCGCCACGTCATTTTCATGAGGAATCGCTGTGTCTGGAGCTGGTGTCTCAAGAGAAGGAGAAGGCTCGGCAGTCGAAGCAGGTTCGGGAGTTGCAGTTTGTGTAGGCGGCTGAGGAGTTTGAGAGGCCGATACCTGAGAAGTGGCACTAGGTCTTCTCGGAGCTGCAGCCGGAGCTGGGGCGGCGCGTCGGACGGGCGCCTTGGGGGCGAATTTCTTGCCCGACTTATCTGTCGTTGAGGGTCATTAGCGCAAAGAAATAATGAAAGACGCGGACAGAAGATGCAGTAGCGCAAAGTGACTTACTAATTGCAGAACTCGAGAAGGACTTCATTGTCACCGATGTCAGTCATAGCTGAAGGCGGGGTGGGAAGAGGCGAAGCCGGGGAGGGGTTTTAGTCCGAATACTTGAGTTGACAATCGTCGTAGTCGAGGAAGATCGATGACAATGCAGGCAAAAGTCTAGATGCTGCCGTTCCTTGAACTCCTGGGGAAAGTGGGCGCGGTCACGTGGGAGGCGCTAGGGCGGCACTAATTCCCAGGCCGAAAATCCTCCTGGATTCAACCAATCTTGCTTATCTTGACTGCTTTCATCCCTCCATCCTAACAACGTCACCCTCTTCTTACGGTCGGACACTGTTGCGGCTCCCACTACTATATCGTTGCTGCTCAGTGGTGACGGCTTTACTCTCCTTATGCCTTTTTAGCCACTGATGCCGGCCGCCGAAGCATCCCCCGTCGCATCTTCCGAGTCCGGTTTCGTCAAGATGGAAGACCGGAAGAGAGCCGCCACGTCTGATCACAATGATTCGGCACCACCATTGAAGAAGCAAGCGACTTCTGTCAATGGTGGTAGCAAGCCTCACCCAGATGCTGATATGCCATGGAAAGACGAGTTGGAGGTGAGTTTAGCGTTAGCCGACGTAGTAGGATTATATCATTCCAGGGGGGCTTTATATACCCCTCGAACGCAGAGCCCACCACGTCGTTGGCTACAGTATTCAATACTAACTCTTGGTCCCAACAATAGCGATTCCAGAAGGATGCGATATGGCGCCAAATGCAGGAGTACAAGCGTGAGAAGGTCTCCCTGGAGGCTAAATTGAAGGAAATGTCGAAAGCCGCTACTCGCCATAATGAACACCTACGCGTCATCGATACATGGTATAATCAGGTCTGTAGATCAACGGTCCATGTCATGGTGGTGCCACCAACTAACAGTTCCAAAAGTTGATTGATGAGGTCAAACTGCTCCTGGGCGCTGCGGAGGATACCAAGGAAGATAGGCCCATATTTCAAAGTTCTTTATCATTCGACGATGTCGACAACTTTGAGAAACATCTGAAATCACGGTCTAATGATATACGTGACATCATCTCTCGCCTTGTTAAGAATGCGCCAAAATCTCCACCTGAAGTATCTGAGTTACAGAGTCAGCTCGCCAAGAAACTAGCAGAAGAGAAGGCTACTATCGCTGAACTCGACAAAGCTTTATCTGAAAAGCAACAATTAGAAGAGAGCCTAGAAGAAGCATCCTTACGGTACATGGTAGCCGAGAAGAAGTTGGACCGTGCACGGAGTTTGACGGTCGCCAAACTGGAGAAACAATATATCCTAGGCCCTCAGCGACCTGGGGGTGACAGTGCGTCCGGTCAACGAGAGGAACAATCGGTTTCGAATGGTACGACACCTAGTGCCGAACGCGGCCCCGAATCAGAGGAAGCACACAACAAACTAGTAGCCATCTCAGAGAAGCAGAAAGAACAGCTGCAGAAGCTGGAGGCCGAGAATGCCAACTTGCTGAGCCAAATCACAGATTTGAATATCAAAGTAAGCCATCCTTCTCCTATGGCCCGCCGAAAGTCATTGGAAACTGACTTGTCGTGACAGCGTTCAAAACTTACCGATGATGATTATGCGCATACGGACCTGTTTAAGCAAATGCGATCTCAATATGATGATGTCGTGAAGCGGATAAATCATTTGGAGGCAACTAATGTGCAGCTGCGCGAAGAAGCTGTGAAGCTACGATCGGAACGCACTGCATACCGCAATCAGGTTGACGAAGAAACGCAAAATGTTATTGCTGAGAAGGAAGCGCAGTTGATGCGAGCGGAGACGGATTTGGCGCGGATACGGAATGCACGTGATGAGCTGTTGGCCGATCAGCAGATGCGGAAGGCTGCCCAGGAACAAGAAAAAACAGCTATTCTGAAGGTTCAGGAACTCGCGGAGGCCGGGAATGCTCGGATTGCTTCTCTGGAATCGGAGGTTGAACGACTTCGTTTGCAGGTGGAAAACGCAAAAGCCACACAAGCGGATTCTAGTGATATTCCAGTCGAGGAGTTACGCACCAAGTACCAGGCACTCGAACGCCAATATGCCATGCTAAACACCGAGTTAACCTCCATGCAAACTGCCTGCAAGAAATACTCTACGCTAGCTTCGCAGAAAGTTACAGATTTCAGTGCGTTGGAAGAAAAGGTGGCGCGCTTGACTGCCGAGAAATCCAAGGCCGACCAAAAGTACTTCGCCGCAATGAAGAGCAAGGAGGCCCGTGACTTGGAAGTGCGCACCCTGAGAATGCAAAACTCGAAGAGCTCAGATATTGTTTCGCAGTTGAAGGAATCCGAAGCCGTTACACGTTCATTGTTGGCGAACATGGAGAAGCAAGTTAGTGAGACAAAGGAAGCACTAAACTCTATGGTGAACAAGCATCATGCTACACAGCAACAGTTGGCAGAGAGTGGCATCGTCATAGAAGGCCTAAAGGGACAGATTAATGAACTGAAGACATTGTCAACGTCCAAGGATGCAACTCTGGCAAGCACTTCCAGTGCCTGTCGGCAAGCCGAGACAGAGATCGAAGGGCTGAAGGCAACACTTGCGGATACCAAGAAAAGCCTGGATAATTGGAAGAACAAGAGCCTAGGGAATTCATCATCGGAATATGAGATGCTGAGGGTAAAATTACCTTACTTCCCCGATTGCCTACCGGATATCACGGCTAACTCGAACATAGACGCTAGCACTTTGTACCGTTTGTCGCAGGAACTTCAAGAATACCGCAATCAAAACCTGCGGCCACGTTTTTTGCAAGGACTGTGTCGAAGAGCGCCTTACTTCTCGTTCTCGAAAGTGCCCGAATTGCAACCGATCATTCGGAAATAACGACTATATGCACATTACCCTTTAGGATCCTTGTTCTTGGCCTAATTGCGCGAATTTCTTTTTGTACCATAGTTTCTTACGCCCTCTTCGTTCTATTCTCCCAAATTCCCCCTTTTCGAGTTATCTCTTTTATTACCCTTTCCTTTTCTTTGCCTTTCGCGAATCCACTTTTGTCCCCCCTGAATCATGGAAAAGGTTACGGTGCGGTGTTTTGCTATGCGGTTTAGCAGGATAGGTTTCCAAGAGGGGCCGGCGTTCAACATGTTTCTTTTCTCTTTGCATATTGGCCAGTCAATGGCGGATTCCAGGTCTTCGGGGTTTCTTGTTCATTTGATTTCTCAACTTTCTGTTCCCTTGTTCCCTTGTTCCCTTCTGGGACGGAGTTTTCTTGGATACCCACTGCAGTGTTCCGAGTAGCATCTGGGTGGGATAGCAGGGCATGTGATGTAGGATTAGCTTGGAAGTTATGGATGAGGCAAGAGATGAAGAATGCAGCATATCAGAGTCATGTCAACCATGACAATCTAAAGACAATCAGCACACTGTTATAGAATTGTATTCATTATATATAGTTGTATTAATTATGAATTAAATATCCTGCTGTATAGGAGTTCATGCCGTCCGACCCAGAGATCTAATGGCGGTACCACTTGACCCGCATCTTCTACGGGCGTATCCCACTCTCGGTCTATCCGTTGTATTATCATATCTTGTAGGTCTCTACTGGCTAAAATCGCCTGTGCTTGATATGGCCCCATCACGGAGGCGCGCACCGCTGCACTTAAGACTGCCTTCGCATGGTTCAACATGAACACATACGCTGTCTGGCGAGCATCCATGCCCATAGCCAGGCACACGATACCCCACAAGGGTGCAAAGTGACCCTTGGGACCCAAGTCATCTGCCGTGTCAGAACACGACTTAAGGGCGTCTGAGAAGTCCCCAATGGTCTCGACCGCCTTGGCAGCAGAATCGCCTGCTAAGAATGGTCCAGAAGCATATGTCCCTCGGAATGCCCGTTCCCAGACACCGATCAAAGCCCTCCCTTGCGCAATACTCGCTCGCTGCGCCACTACGCAAGGCGTTGACGCATCCATATCATTATCCAATGTTTCTAGGTCTTCTGGGTTTCGGTATGCTGCGAGAACGTATGGTATGGACGTGCTTGCCATTGATGTGATCGATAATTTTAGAAAGCGGTGGAAGGAAGCGGTGGGTGTGACTTTGGGAGGAAGAGGTTTATTATGTGCGAGATAAGATTCGAGCCCGCTAGAATAGGCAAATGAACCCAATGGGAGGGCAGAGTCTGATAGGAGAAATAGGGCATGACTGGAGAGTAATGGAATCGTATCTGGAAGAAAAACGTCAGCATTGGTCGCCGCAGTGTCCTGTAACTCATATCGCATACCCTTGGGAAGAGGCAAGTATGAATCTCCGTCAGTTTCCTGACCGGAGGCCAACGCTAGACGAGTTTTGGCATTCTGTAGACGATATTCGAGATCAGAGATCTCTTTCTCTAGAAACTGCGGGCTCGATTTTGTGATCATTGAGGCGTGTAGCTGTATAGTAGTTGAGGAATAGGATGGGGAATGAGGGAAATTCGCAGCGCCAGATGAAGGGCCGCCACTTCCTTATCTATGGCCGATTTAGTTCGCCGATAAGCATCGGAATCGCCCGATCTTGGCGGTCAGTGGTGGCAAAAAATGGGTCTCGGCGACCGGCTTCGGAACATCTCGTATCGAGCCAGAAGCAAACTGTTTGGTCAACCTATGACAAATTGCGCCCGTTCGTCATGCGAGCTCGTTAGACTTACTGCGCAGTAGACTGAGACTGGCGACGACACTGATATTTTAGGGTTTATACTATGTCAGGAAGGCGTCTTCTGGACGCTATCCAAGTCCTCAATGTCGCCAAGTCCGTTGCGACGAAACACCTGGCGGTGCGCCAACGCCAGTTAGACTTGTTTACGAGAACGTCGTCCCTCACCAAGGGCATCAAGGAGCAAGTCGACGGCCTCGTTCTCACCGCTCAAGCCGCCGCAGCTTTGGCCAGGCGATTCGATGAACCCAGTCCTTCCGAATCGACGCCGAGGGCTCAGACCCAAAGCGTGACCGACACTCGCCGTGCGGCGAATGTCTCTGCCGACGACGCAAGGAGACCACAACGACAGGCGGAATACAATGGAAATGAAAGGTCGGGTGACTTGAACGTCAGTCCACAGCAGGATGTGTTCTACCAACCGTCCCAGAACGCAGGATCCGAGCCATCTGGACTTCCTAGGACACAATTGCCCAAGGCTGCAAGTGATACTCAGAGGGGTTTAGTCAACGAGATTAATGCGGATGTATTTCACTCGCCGGTGGATGCCGAGAAGGTTGCATCGCCTGCACAAGAGCAGGAAATCCCAGACGAGGTCATGAACCAACTCTTTCGTAGCCCTAAGGTCGCCAAATCGATTTCTCGGAGAGGTGATGTGAACATGAACAGAGGCGAACTCAAGCCTGCTGGGTCATCCACGCATTCAGCCGAGAAGGATGACATAGAGAAACTTGGAAGTAGTATTGCAGATGATATAGTCTCGACCAAGTCCCAGGTTCGTAGTGTCATTATCCTAAGAAAGGATACCTATGCTAATAGCGTCGCGCAGACAGATCCAGTGGTAATTGCAGATTCAAAGCAAGCAGACACCTATAAAATGTTAGAATCGCGTGTTCCGTCATCACGTCTAGGGAGACTATGGCAATATAGTGGACTGGCGACTTCGATGGCTTTTGGAGCTGTTGGTGAGGGTTTGCGGAGAGTAACCGGCAGCAATGACGCGGATGCTGGATCTCTCATGTTCAGCCCCGGGAACATGGAACGCCTCGTCGCTAAGCTTTCGAAGATGCGTGGCGCTGCCCTCAAATTAGGCCAGATGCTGAGCTTCCAAGGTTTGTATAGGCCTTTCACCTTTGTTGTGCTGTCAGGACAAAACTAATTGATTTAGACTCCAAGATGCTCCCTGAGTCGATCGGAATTGTTCTCCAAAGAGTACAAGACCGAGCTGACTACATGCCGGCCTCTCAGCGTGACAAAGTGCTAGCCGATAACTTGGGCCCTAACTGGCGGGATCTATTCTCCTCTTTTGATGAAGTCCCAATGGCCGCAGCTTCTATCGGTCAAGTCCATGGAGCTGTGCTAAAGAAGACAGGTCAACCCGTTGCCGTCAAAGTACAATATCCAGGTGTGGCAGATTCTATCGACTCGGATCTGAACAACTTGTCGATCCTACTCACTGCGTCTCGTCTTCTCCCGAAGGGCCTGTATCTGGACAAGACTATCGCAAATGCCCGGACAGAACTCGCTTGGGAATGTGACTATATCCGAGAAGCCGAATGCAGCAAGCACTTTAAGGAACTCCTCAAAGATGATCCGGTCTTTCTGGTACCGGAAATCATTCCCGAGGCCTCGGGCAAACAGGTCTTGACCATGGAGCGCTTGAACGGTGTTGCCGTTACCAGGATCCAAGATTTCACGCAAGAACAACGAGACTGGATCGGCACGCAGATCATGCGTCTGTGTCTGCGCGAGATTACTGAATTCAAATACATGCAGACCGACCCGAACTGGACCAACTTCCTCTATAATGCAGAGACCAACCGTCTAGAACTACTTGATTTCGGTGCTTCGCGCGAGTACCCCACCGAATTTATCACAAAATACATTAACACGCTTGTGGCTGCCTCCCGGAATGATCGCGAGACTTGCCACCGTCTCTCCATTGACCTGGGCTACCTGACGGGTCACGAGTCGTCGGCGATGGTGAATGCGCATGTCTCCTCCATCACTACTCTTGCCGAACCATTCATGGGCTCTTCCCCGGATATCTATGACTTCAGCAACCAGACTATCACGGATAGAGTCCGTACTTTTATTCCAGTTATGATCCGAGAGCGCCTGTCGCCTCCCCCAGAGGAGACCTACAGTCTTCACCGGAAACTCAGCGGTGCTTTCTTGCTGTGCGCCAAACTAGGCAGCCGAGTACGGTGCAAGGAGCTGTTCGAAGAGGCTATCAAGAAGGTTGATAAGTCAGGAATCGAGACCAAGCCGTAGGATCTGAGAGCCACTGTCTTGACCTACATGTATTATAATCCGTGCAAAAAGTCAACTCCTGTAAATTATATAGATAATGTACGACTAGAGAACATGATACAATAAGATACTGCAGACTTCGCCCCTCTACCTGTTATATGGATATGTAGTCGCCAGAGCTTCATACGTATAACCTGCCTGTCATATTAAACCTTCCAGATCTAGAAGAGTAAGGTCCTGGCTAAGTTTTGAAGACTCGGTTGAGTCATGTACAATAAAATTGCAGCACTGTCATATATATACAGACCGTAGAACTGGTATCACTATTGAATAATAGTTCTACAGTGTATGTACTACCGATCCAATTAATTGACGCTAATATATGCATACAAATTTAACAAAGGCATTAGTATATGCCTGGGTAGCCGCGGCAAGTTGAAGCTTGGTTGCTTCTTAGCAGACCCAGTTAGCATACCATGTGTAAAACTTCCACAAAGCGGCCCGAGTCTTCTAAGCCGGAGAAGCTGGGGGCTACACGGAATGTATCCCGCGCTTTGGACGTTTTGAGGCGCCATCACGTTTCATAAATGCGGTGCCGGTTCTTCGAAATGACACATTTATTCCGAGGCAACATTTGTGCACTCACTATGTTCGTGAAGGTCTTATCAATTCGACCCGGCCAAAAAAAGGACGGGAAGTAAGGACAAAGGATGCGGTGTCATCCAGGGCAAAAAGCAGTGTCCACATAGCCAGCGTGAGCACTAACATGTTTTGGGACAAATACTGTGATAGATTTGTTCACCACGGACGAAATACGCAGCAGTGACATGGTGAAGGAACCATTGCAAAGATCGCTCAAGCTAGGACGTTCCAGCCTGCTTATATCTTTGGAGACTTCTTGTCCATGTAGATTGCATTCCAGTACTTTTTCACTCCCGCGCAGATGCCCTTGTGACCCTTCCAGGAACTGAATTTATTCTCGAGCTCGCAGCCTGTCCAGAGAATTTCTTTCCAGAAATGCTTTTCGACATCCGTACTAAATTTTCCAATCACTTCTTGAGGAATAGTCCATGCGCGTGTGTAGCTACCGTCATCGGCGAAAGCCGGGTTGACGGCTTGCTTCTCGAACACTGTAGCCGGGTTGAATTTTGGGAAATTGGCATGGATGAAGAAGGCTCGGGGAGCAGGAGCCTTTGATCCATGAACGCGCCATTCACCTTTTTGTGTCAAGGCGTAATCCTCAACCGGGTCAAACTGGACCATTGCGGAGCCAGCCAAGCCGCCCTCGGTGCCGTGACCAATGGCGCAAATGGGCTCAGAAACCTGATAGTATGATTCTCCGAGAGCTAGAGCAGCTGCAACGAACGTTTCCTTGTCGCCCTCACCGGATGCACCTTGAGACAAAAGTGGGTAGTAATATTCGGGGCCCCAGAAGTTATAATAAACACTGAGAAGGAGTGTCTTCATGTGGGCCTTCTTGGAAAGGAGCACTTCGCCAGATTCGCTAGATTGCCGAATGGTGTTTGAAGGCATAGGCTGGGATGATATCTCGTAATAGTATGGCGAGATTGTGGTCGCCCAAAAGTCTGGCCACGTAACCATTTTCTTGGACTTGAAAGGTTCGTTCTCGAAGAGTGTCTCTGGTTGATGTAGGGGAAATGCGTCCGCATCCAGGAACAGGATTTCCTCAAAAGAAGAGAACATCATGGCGAACAGTTTGAATTGGTATTTCTGGATATCCATAATCTTTGGAACAGCATCCAAGACATGGGAAAGCACCACACATCGTGCATTGAGAGATGGAAGAACCACATCACATATATATGTCTCATATTCATCCTCATTGGCAAGGAATACCTCGAGTGGCAGTTCTGAGCCTGTCCTGCGAAGCATCCGAAGCGAGATGACCAACACGGGTAAGTATTCGCCGCCAGCGGTCGAAACCAATCCTCTGGTGTTGGGGACATAGTGTAGCATGGGTGCTTCGCCTTAATCTCTTCGACAAACCCAGTATGAGCTTGCTTCATGGTCTCAACATGATCGTCCAGCATGTCCAGTACCTCGGGCCGGAAGGCAGGGCTTGCTTGCTCAAACCTAACAGACGGTGCCATTTCCAGCCGCAGTGGCGGTTCACATCTTGGCTGGTAGGTATCTAGAAGAGGCTGAAATTGACGCCAGAAGCTGATATGACCTTCCGGCTTAGTCAATACTACGGCTGGTTCGTTGGATGGTGCTGCCTTTGTAGCCGTGGATTGCGCTTGTTCCGCATAGAAGATACGCTGCCAGCGCAAGAACGAATATGTGATAAAAGCTGCGAGTGCAGCCGCCAACAGCAATGTTCGCACCCGCGAAAAGGGTCGAGGTAAAACCATTTCACCTCTCCCTCTCCCTCTCTACTTCCTGTGTCCCCTTCTCTCAACGGTCTGCGTGTAACTTGATTATTCTCTTTTCCTCTGTGGTCGAGAACCTTTCCCCTGAGATCTGGAGCAATCGTCGATGTCGATTTTCAGACTCTTTCTATAATCGTAGTTCTTTTCAGCAGGGGGGAAACGGAAAATCGCGGTATGGTGACGTATTGGAAGAGCCCGTCAGCGCATCAGAGACAGATCGCCGCAAGTATGCGACAATAAGTGATGATATAATCGATTCAGGGAGACCGGGGCGAAGGACACACAAGAGAGGACGTCGAGAAGAACTCTGAGGACGAAAGAGGTCTGCGATCAGAATACGAAGTCATGAGGAAACACGATTTAATTTAACTCCAGACAAGCTAAAATTCCAGGGTTTATTGATCCATGCGCGAGGACCCACGTGTGCTCCGTCATGGAAATTATGGTATTTTTGACCGCCCGGTACTGGGATTTATTATCTCGGCGGGGAAAGGGTCCAGTTCTTATCGATAGGGTCTGGTAATTCCGATACCGCCTGCTGCCACTTTTTTTAAGGTTCAAGGAATTAGTACTCTGTATTCACTGCCAACTCAAAATGTTGATTCGACCATGCAGATTGATGTGATTTATAACACTTCACGGAATTGAAGGGCCTGTTAATATACATGGATATATAGTTATCCTTGTCTCTCTTTGTCAGTCATAGAGATCTCCATTTGAGTCCTGATTGGATTCTTCCTCCTCCAAGATGGTGGAAGAGAGAAGCCCAGCCTCCTTGTTTTGCCTTCTGCTTCCAGCCAAGTACTCATTGAGCAGACTATATCTTCTCTCCGGAGCATTTCCCTTCAACCCCTTCATAGTGCGGATCCGATGAGCTTTGGGTGGACGAGGTAAAGGGTACGTTAGCCCCAGGGATTGGTTCAAAGTCTCCACAATGAAGGAACTCGTATAGTACAATAGAAGCCCCAGTGATATTCCTGTGAGTATGGCTACCAAGACAAAGGTCAGGAATGCCTGTAAGAAATGTCAATAACCATCCCCTTTGAGCTATTGGAGCCAAGCGAATCGTTCTCTATTGAAAGATGCCATCCAAATACTTCCGTACCTCAAATTTTAAGATTAGTGTGAAGGGCAGGAGGGCACAATGAAGGGCGAATTGTCCCAGTTTCACCAATGGCGTTGCCAATAGTTGCAGTATTCGATATGCGTAGTATATGAGAGAGGTAACAGGATATAGGAGTATCCATTGCGACACTGCGGTTATCACTGAGACCCAAGACATTGATGCACCGTGAGATATTATTATCTACCAAAGAGAGTTCTTCATTATGTATGAGAATTCTTTATGCGATAGTACCAGACTCTAGGAAAGAGGAAGATTGATGGATGTCAGTTGATCCTTGTCATTCCTCTTAGATACATTAAGCTTCCATAGGCGGTATCACCCGGCAGAATCATATAGATAAGAACTCTTGTCTGAACGAGCTGTTGACCTTTTCCGGTTTCAAGCGAGTTCAAAAGTATGACATGTACTTGAAGACACTGCTAATGAGCTATACAGCACAGGAATGCGAGGAATACTAACGACGACTACTACATGTTATTGGTGCCATAATTACAGCTTTGCAGGCGACTTCCGGTGATCGGAGATAACTGCCGACCATCCGGTGGGAGCCCTAAGCCCTAACTGGTAAGTTGGCCCAGACTTTGGGGTCGCCGACATCGACATCATTGCTACTTCACTCGAGGTTCAACTCCGTTTTTACTAGGACTGTATTTACATTTCCAGTACTGTTTGGACTCTAAATCACGCTTGGTATTTTTCCGGGGCCTTCTAGTTTGTTTTGCCAGTCTGTGTTCCCCCCATTGTCGGTCGAGGACCGCGGTCTGATGCTAGCGACCCGATCTGCATAACGTCCATCTCGTCTCAACTTCCTTCCCCTCCTCCCCTTCGTTCATCTATATCTGTCTCCCACATCTTCGCTTCTCTCCGCCTCTAATGGGTAACAACCCTTCCAAAGGTCCCGCCGGAGATGTTCCGCCGACTTCGGGCCCCTCGACCCATGCGGGTGACAAGAAAGTAACTCGCCGACCATCGCTCAATGCTTCATCAGGCACAGCAAAAGCCACTGCCGCGGATCCTTCTGCCTCCAAAGAGACTGCAACTGGTCATTCAGCTTCACAAAATCGGGCATCGGTTCAACAGCGTCTTCAATCGCGCAATGCTCCAGACTCAGCGCCGCGGTATGCGCCTGAAACTAAGAAAATAGACATACGCTCCCCCGATCCGTCAAACCCCGTCCAGGTGCCAACCTCACGAACTAGTGCTAGGAATGATCACTATACATCTGTAGCGCCGTCCGCTCCACCTCACAATGCCTACTACAGCGCATCTGCACATCTCCAGCGGCCACCTCGATTGCCTCTACCGATTGGTGATGCCATGGCGACGCCAGGCTCACCTTATATGGGGTCGCCTCCCGCGGATCAATTGCTCGATGAACAGACAGGTCAGGGAGATTCGAAGTTGGGCGATACCGCCGTTGAGGATGAAGAAGTCTTGGAAGAACTGGAGCCGTATACAAGCAGTGGTGTAGGCCGGCCTGTTCCCACAATTATAGAATGGACTGCTCCTGGCGACAAGGTTTATGTCACCGGAACCTTTGTCAACTGGGAGAAAAAGTTCCGTCTCCACAGAAGGTATGCAATGCTATTGGTAATATCCGTTTCCATCGCCTGTTATTGGACCCGCAAGACCACATCGTTTAGCCTCTATGAACCTCCACCGCTAACGCAACACATACTAAGCAGTGAAAGTAACCCCGGTGTTATGTCAACCAGGTTAAATCTCCGCCCTGGAACCCACCACTTAAAATTCATCGTAGACGGTGAGATGCGCGCGGCGGACAGTCTTCCCACTGCAGTAGACTTTACCAATCATCTCGTTAATTACATCGAAATAAGCGCCGACGACGCTAATCGGTCACGAAGTGGGAGCGATAAAACATCTCAAAGCAATGTTCCTCCTGGAGTCTACCCTCCGCAAGTCCTGCCCACTCGAGCTGGGTCTGAGCAGGTTGGATCCGGATCAGCCGTTGAAGATCAACCGGACGAGCTGGAAGAGATTCCCCAAGGAGACTTCCGTCGTATAATCCCGCAGTTCCTTGTTGACTTAGACAGAGACGATGAAACTCAAGAGAGCCCAGCTTACCAACAAGCTGTCAATGTGATTGGCGATGCACCTACGCCACCAAGTCTACCACTGTTCCTGGGAAAGTCGATATTAAACGGCACTACGCCAATGAAGGACGATAGCAGCGTACTGAATTATCCCAACCATACTGTTCTGAATCATCTGGCAACGAGCAGTATCAAAAATGGCGTTCTGGCTACCAGTGCAACAACCAGGTACAAACGCAAGGTAAGTCACTACAATCAAACAATCTCTGGTGGCTAGGTTACTAAGACGTGCAACCACAGTACGTAACGACAATTTTGTATAAGCCAACAGGGGATATCGCGGGATAGACATAAACACACAAGACGTCACTGCATATCCCCTGTTCGGTCAGGAGTGGCCCATTACTCCTTAGCTAGACAAGACCTTGTTAAACGTTCTTCGCCTAATGAATCTCCGCTGGCTCCATACTCCAATTCGTGTTTGAAACATCCGAGGAATGTTTTCCAACAAATTCAATATATCTTTGGACTAAATGTCTGTCCACGAGTCCACGACTATGGGATGTCTCCCCCTTTTAACCCCATTTTCTTTCACCGACAAACGCACATACATCGAAGGCCAAGCATATAGCCTTTAAGCACTTGGTAATGGGCTGAATGTTCGGCAGGAGTTGTTTGACTACTCATTTCATTGAAGGCGTTTTGGATCACCATTTCTTCCGGAGTTTCTTGGGATGCATCATTAGCGATAAGAACTTTCACATGTCTTGGCTTTTGCCTTTCTGTTCGTCATGCGACTGTGTCGTATGTGCATCAATGCTTCTCGGTCATACCTCGAATGCCTAATGTATGCTAGCATTGATCAGGTCCAATACGGTCTGGAGTGATGCTGGGTCATCTATGAATTACATACCACTACTTCTCCCTGGATCAATGTCTGAAAAGTAAGCCGGTGCTCCCATAGTTATCTATAATTCTCAAATACAAGTCCAACGATACTATACTGCAATCACTACATTGCAGCGGTCTCCATGACTGCGGAAAGTAGCGGCAAAACACGTGGACACCAACGTCTTCATGGTACTTCGTAAGTCTGTTTTATTCAGCAAATGGGGATCCAATAGATATATCGGCAGATTAATCCCTCCACTTTACGAACACATCATCCGTTCGGAACCGTTGCGTACATGTGGAGTCCTTCAACGGCGTCCTGAATCCAGTCGAGTATGCGAGCAAGCCAGCCTGTGCGATCATGATTCCATTATCGATACAGAATCTTTCATCTGTGGCGTGGACGCTACCTCCGCGGTCGCGGGCCATGATTCCCATCATTTCCTGTAACCTCTCATTGCAACCGACACCACCGACAATCAGAACCTCTTTGGAGCCGACGTGCGCCATCGCGCGTTCTGTTGTTTCAACAAGCATGGAGAAGATAGTCTCTTGGAGCGAGAAGCACAAGTCCGCACGGGTGGGTTTTCCATTGCCATCAGATAGAGAGGTATCGGTCTCATCGTCCTTCCCTTCGCCACCTAGTCCATATGTCGCGGCCAGACCATCCACTGCGGCTAAGATCCCGGAGAAGGAGCAATCCATCCCCTTCACAGTGTATGGTAGATCAACTAATTGCTTGCCCTTTTTGGCCAATTGTTCAATATTATATCCCGGGGCCGGGTCATTGGAGATGTGTAGCGTTCGTGCGAACCGGTCCAAGCAGTTACCCACTGCAATATCAAGAGTCTCGCCGAAGATCCGGTACCTTTGTGAGCTATATGCGATTACTTGTGTGTTTCCTCCGGAGACATAGAGTACAACTGGATTGGTAGAGCCTGTAATGAGTCTACCCATTTCAATATCTATGTAACGTTAACGCCATGGCACCAAAAGAAGTATGTAACAGGTTTATGCACGAGACAGGAACTAGAAGAAGCGGTACAACAATAGGCATTAGGGCTATACATACGTCCGACACAATGATTTACACCGACCAATTCCTTGCCCCATAGTAGGCTCAGCATCCGAGCTGCAACCGCAACGCTCTGGAGGGGAGCTCCCATGCCAGGGCCCTTGGTGAAACAAATACAATCCACATCCTGGACGGAAACACGAGCTTCTTTAAGCGCATTTTTCACAAGCTTTACCACCCACGCACGATGATGTCTAGCGGTGTCTTTAGGGAGAAAACCCTCACCCGGGGGAGAGACATAGGTGTGACGGATGTTCGCGAGTACCTGCGGGGGGCTGCCATTATCAGGATGCAGCATGATGCCCACGCCAAGCTTGTTGGCGGAGCCTCCAGGCCGATAGCGATCATGATCGAGAGGGTAAATTCAATTAAACAGTAATTTCTAGTCGTAATGAATATCAAAGGACAACAACACTAAACAAAAAGCTGTGTGGAGGGGGTTTACAATGAGGCAATTCGTTTCTTTGATATGAATGAGCCAGTACGGAGGGGCAAAATTGGTCTTTTTTTTATCAGCAACGTTATCGATTGGTGCGCTTGACAGGCGGTCATATCCGCTGCAGCGTTTATCCGACGGTATACATCCAGTGGTACGGGCGAACTAAGGCTACTATGGAACTACGTACTAAGACTACAGCTCACCCACCCTCCTTCAAAACCAACCCACTTCGTGACTGTCCCTTCACACACACAACGGTGGACGATTCACTTCGTCGCTCCTCCTGTCCTCTCAAGCGTTCTCTCAATCCTCTGATCTTACTCTCTATCCCCCTTTTGACGGTTCCTTTTCTCCGTGTGCCCGAGAAAGAGTGGGGCTCTCGCTCGTTCTTGTATTCCCGTTTTTCTTTGGTGTGCTCTTCTACCTACTCCACTACTCTTCCTCGTCAAAGACACCATGTCGTCCACAATTCATTTTCTCGATCCGGCGAATTTCCAGTCTCAGTCAGACGAGTTTATCTCCTGGCTGTCTGGTAAGCCTGGGGTGAAGGTTAACCCTAAGATTCGGCTCGCTGATTTGAGGTCCAGAGCGGCGGGCAGAGGTGTCGGTACGTGATCATTCCAAGAAGAATTTCGCCCACTTCGGTTTTCCGCCGCACCCCGAGTCGTATTTCGTGGAATCCCATCTCTGATAGACACACACCAATGTACTAGTGGCACAATCCGATATTGCCGAAGGTGAAGAACTTTTTACGATTCCCCGCGAACACGTTCTTTCAACTCAGAATTCAAACCTGAAGGATCTACTCTCCCAGGATGTGGAGGAGCTGGGCCCATGGCTGTCCCTTATGCTGGTCATGATCTACGAGTATCTTCTCGGTGATAAATCGGCTTGGGCATCATACTTCAGGGTCCTTCCCCGAAAATTTGATTCCCTAATGTTCTGGTCGCCTTCAGAGCTTCAGGAGCTTCAGGGCAGCGCAATCGTCGATAGAATTGGCAAAGAAGGCGCGGAAGAATCCATACTTGAAATGATTGCTCCTATTGTGAGAGCGAATCCATCCCTCTTTCCGCCGGTGGATGGTCTAGCATCGTATGATGGCGATGCTGGCACTCAAGCCCTCCTGAACCTCGCTCATATGATGGGATCTCTTATCATGGCTTACGCCTTCGATATCGAGAAGCTCGAAGATGAGGATAATGAAGGAGATGATGAAAGCGGATATGTGACTGATGATGAGGAACAATTGTCCAAGGGCATGGTTCCCCTGGCAGATTTGTTGAACGCTAATGCAGATCAGAATAACGTGAGTTGCTCCCCCTTCGTATTTAACAAGTCATAGGCGCTCATTCATATGAAGGCCCGTCTCTTCCAAGAAGACAGCGGTCTTGTTATGAAGGCTATCAAGCCTATTAGTGCAGGGGCTGAGATTTTCAACGACTACGGAGAGATCCCCCGTGCAGACCTTCTGAGGAGGTACGGCTATGTGACCGATAACTATGCTCCGTACGATGTAGTTGAGCTGCCACTGGAACTTATTTGCCAGGCTGCTGGCCTTGAAAATGCCGATATTGAGAATCAACCTGCGGTATATACTCTCATTCTCGTTTATAACCTCCTGAGATACAGTGCTGATCAATGGTTATAGCTCCAATTTCTTGAGGGCTTGGAAGTCCTTGATGACGGTTATGACATTCCGAGACCGTTGGATGATGATTTGGCAGGCGTTCTTCCAGAAGAACTGATCATGCTGGCTAAGACGCTGTGCATGTCAAGTGACGAGCTGAAGCAGCAAATTTCAAAGAACAAACCCCCCAAGCCCTCATTGGGTCACAAGGAAGTAACGCTACTGTCAAAGGCTGTTCAATCAAAGGGCGCCCAGTACACAACGACCCCTGCACAGGATACAGAACTACTGGCACAGTTGAACCAGTTGGAGGCTACAGCCCCCTTGGAAGACTCTGCACGACGACAAAAATGGCAATCCAGGTTCGGATTGGGGAGAAGGAAATTCTGCAAGCCTTATCCGATATGCTCATCACCTACTCAGAGGGAAGCACGACCTTAAAGCGAGCCGCTAACGGCGACAGTGATGCCTCGAGGAGAACAAAGGCCCAGAGGACTTGATCCCACCGATCTGCAAGGCGTTGTCTATTTTGCATGGATAAGAAAAGTTTGTCTTTTGTTACAAGTGATATTAATTGTTATTTTTTTTCGTTGCTGACCTCATAGCTTCGCTATCCGTACAAGTCTCTATCGACTGATCATCTGGGAGAATAAAAGAAAAGAAAGAAACAATATGTACACTAACATGGCATAATCCCAGGGTCAGGTCATGAAAAAGCATCCGTCTGCGACATTATCCTGAATTTTTTTGAAAGCGTCGCGGCGTTCAGGCAACTGATGTTAAAAGGGGTGTTGAAAACAAAGACAGCTTGAAGCGTCGGGAGTAAAAGTACAGTGGGGGTTGAAAAAGATAATGGGAAAGAAAGAGCAACGCCTGCCAAATGCAACATATGGGTGTGGGAAATTAAGAAGATTTGAGTGAGGGGGGAGAAGAACAGAGTCCAGCTCAAGTCTCAGGTGTGGGGGCAATGGCACCAGGCCCAGGGTTGGATCCCATGGTTTGCCCCGGATTGTTGGCCGTTTGGTCAGCTTGCAATCGCCGCTGTGCTTGGGCCTGAGCCTGGGCTTGCGCCTGCGCATGCGCCTGAGCTGCTGCCGCGGCTTGGTCTCGAGCCTTCGCCATCATGATGGCTCGGTGCTGCATGATGTGGATGTCAAACTGGTCTCGTTCAAAGTCGAGCTCTTCGTCCGAGTCTTCCTGATCATACTTGAAGCGATCGGCCTTCCACGGATCCAGCTCCACTCTACAACGCGAAACAAGGTTTCGACGATCGATAAACAAACGACCACCACGCCCGATGCGTCGCCTGAACGAGG